CAACTCTTGTTCTTAGGTGTCACGAACGGCCGTTATGGCAGAATAAAAAGCGGCGCCACAATTATTTCAAACTATAGAATGTTCTAGCACTGTGGCCACCACTCAGTGCACTGTATGTCTGTTAATAAACGAGATTTTGATCCTTCCTAATGAAAGCTTTTACTTAGCATGATGTTAGCATTGCTGCAGGGAATCGCATAGTGTGCGGTGCCAGTATTGTTATTCGTAAAATTAATAATTAAAACATTATTTCGGATTTTTAATATGAGGCAATGTTGGCCAGTCTTTTCCGTGTTTAGACAGTTTCAGATCTCGTGTATTATTATATAGGAGCTTTGTTGACTTCCTTTCTGTGTTAAAAAAATCAAAACCAAGGTAAGTAGTTGAAATGTTTATTTAATATTATTTTTTTTTAAGAATACGTATATGTCGTAACATTTGTTCCGCTTTTAAAAGAGAAATAAATAAAAGTTCTTTACTGTTGAGGTGAATAAATAGATTATTTAAGGAAACAGAAAAACGAAATCTGACACAGTAAGTTTTAGTCAAGTAAATGAAGTTTTTTTTAAAATGCCAGTGACTTATATCGCATATGGTGCTAAACTAACGCCCTAATAGACCTATTGAAACTGGGTGAAGGAAGTAGCTTGCGTCACACCTGTCGCTTTTACTTTTTATGAAATTTTTTGCTGGTACCCATTTAACTAGGTCTTCCTGGAAGGTCAATTATATATTTTTTTTTCGTTTTTGTGTGTGCGTGTGTGTGTGTTTATATTGTTTGTTTGCTTGCTTTTGTTTATTATTAAATTATAGCTGTTTAACTGGCGGTCCGCATGCTAAACCTGACCAGCAGAGGCCTGGCAAGTGGCTCGCGGATCATTGCCAGGGGTTTTAGATGTATGATCTTTCTACGTTAGGATAAGATTGGCTCCAAGTTATGACCTAGACCTCTGGTCTCCATTTTCAAAATGTTAGCCCCTTGAAACTTAAGTTTGAATAGTTAATTTTCCAGTTTCATAGGTGCTATAGTCCTAAGGTCCACACACACACACACACACACACACACACACACACACACACACACACACATGCTCACACAAACGCACTCGCGCACATACGCACACAAAACAATTTCATCAGGCTGGGCCGGCTATTTGGGATATATTTCTGTTAGATTTCATAGCAGCTAGATGCTCGTGTCGTCGTCTGGGGTTAGACGTTGCAAACTCGCTCATAATACTGAGGTGCCAGGTTCGATTATAGCTGCAGATGATTTGGCAGCAGATCACCTGGCATTGGTTTCGACAGTAGTTTCGAGAACCGACCGTTTAGTGCAATGGAAAACTACTGAACGTAAGGTCAGTCAGCCCAGTATAGTCACGAACAGTCCCTAACCCTAACCCCCCCCCCCTCCCCCAATGTGGATTTAAAAATTAGTAATGATCAGATGATTCTTACTTCTACCAAATGTAAAAGTATCGAAATAGATTTAAAATCAGTATTAATCACTGATCAAATGTTATAACCTATAACAAACATAAAGGTACTGGTGCAGTCAGCATTGATCAACTGTTTAAAACAAACATAAAAGTATCGAAACAGATTTAAAATCAGCACTGATATATTGTTATAACATTCAACAAACATAAAACTACCCATATGGATTTATAAGTAAGAATTGATCAAATGCTACCATCTGTAACACACATAAGAGTACCGGTGTTGGAATGCATATGTGCTGACCAGCATGTGGCGGTGCACCAAGATCATCCTGGCCACAACCCATCTTCACTTCTCCATGGTCATCCTAGAAACAGGTTTACTACTGGGAGCATGCCAGCTTAGATAGGATCGATGTTTGATTTGAAGTCAGTATGCATTTGTCTGTGAGGCAAGAAACCAGCAGAGTACCAACAAGAGAAAAGAACGAATTGAACGGATGTATTCGCAACTCTCAAGCCCTGGAACAAGACCAAAGTCCATAGGTGGACAAACAACTACTGAATGTAACAAACAAGAAGAAAAGTACCGATGTTGATTTGGAAACATGACTGACTAAATGTTACAATTTCTAACAAAGTTAACAGATTACGACCTAACCAAGAAAGTGTTAACGTTGATTTTGTTTGTAGGAAATATCAATGATTGTATATGAACTTCCTCCCTTAAAACTCTTTGAGTCCCAAGGAACGCATCATACGTTCATAGGTTCCTACCCAGAAGCCCAATGAACGCATGATGTGCCGTTTTATTAATTTCTTCACTATACCCTGGGCCTGTGATGCTAAACCCCCTGGGACTCAAAGAGTAAAAGTCCACGCCGTGTGGCGTTGGTAGTCGTGTCCATCTGTCTACAGCGTTCTGTTCCGTGTACTTTCAATTAACTCTGTAAAAAGCAAGTAAGTAAAGGACCCTTTTCCACGCCTTAAGGCGTATAGGACATATAGGGCTAGACCTATATTTTTATAGACAAATCGGCACAAAATGGGTGATGTAGTCAGCATCACGCCAGTCGCTTTTACTTCCCGAGACTGCACCCGGTACCCACTCAAGGCTGGGTCGACCTTTGAGTCAAGGTCATTTTCGAAAAAAGTCCGGCTACGCCAGGGAGCGAACCCACAACCTTGAGATAAGAACTGACATTGTAGCCCCGGGACATTCACATAAGCGCTCTGTCCTCCTCTTCAGCGAAAAGTATCAATTCCAATGAGGTCAGTAGCAGTTTGATTAGATGTCCGCCCTTCCTATCATCTCTGAACGTAGAACGTCGACTAGATCCCCCCTGATCTCTCCTAGCTGTACCATTCTCTCCTCACTATAACGAACTATCCGTACCTTTGCATGTTCACTTGCTCCCATAGACCCTTGACCATATCTAGAAAATCAAGCACCAACAATTGGTGTAGAACCACTTAATCTATCTGCCTGCTTATTTTCCAATACCTCAACGTGCCTTGTAGACAATATACAAAGAACGCTAACTATACGGGACTTTGAAGCGACGATTACCATCAGAAAATGTCAGGTTCCTATATCGATCGTGTATGTCTTTGACATTTGGTAACGAACGAAAGAACTAATTTTGACTGGTAACAAATTGACTCAAAGAACAACAAACGAAGTGGTTTGGACACCTAACAAGAATGCCCTGGTACTATCCGCCACAGCGAGCCACACTAAAACGTTACAATGGGTATAGAGCGAGTGGAAGACCTCGGAAAATATGGAGTGATGGCATTGTGAACAGCCTTACAGAAATGAACATCAGTCTTAATAGTGCTCTTGACAGAGCCTATTAACGAACATTACATCTCCCCCGACACTTCGATGAGGTACAAGGTGGAAGAGAAGAAGAAGAAGAAGAAGAAGAAGAAGAAGAAGAAGAAGAACAAATTGACCACGCATTTCAATCTCCCATTCGATCCTTCCAAATACTCATTCTTTCTCATAGCAACTGTATTTTATCTATAAACCATGTTATGTTCACACGTAAACGTTATTAATATCAAACATAAACATTTACAAGACGAAAGTAACAGGCAACACAGCACAGCAGAAATGTTGGGACTGAGAATAAATACCAAGAAAACTAAGATCATGACAAGCAGTCGAAACCAACAACCGGTGACCATAAATAACCAAACTCTTGAAAATGTAGAACATTTCACACATCTTGTTAGTGTGGTGTCCCTACCGGGAGGGACAGAAGAGGACATACAGTCACGCCTGAACACAGCTAGAGCTGCTTTTGGAAGGATGAGGCAAATTTGGAAATCCAACAGTTACTGCAGGGGAACGAAACTCCGACTCTACAAGAGCATCATTTTGCCAGTTCTTCTTTATGGAGCGGAATGCTGGAGAATGACCAGAAAGGATGCACACAAGCTGTTCACCTTTCACCACAAATTCTACGTAGAATTATCAAAATTTTCTGGCCAGATACAATCTCAAACACTAAACTACTTCAAGTCACAAGCCAAGAAACTTTAGACAGTATGATAACCTAGAGAAGATGGAAATGGCTTGGCCACATCATGAAAATGAATCCTGATATACCTGCCAAAACAGCTCTCACATGGACACCAGAGGGAAAGAGAAAACAGGGGCGCCCAAAAACAACATGGAGACGAACGATGGAAAGTGACCTGAGTGCGGCATCTTTGACATGGAAAACTGCACTGAAGATTGCACAGGACAGGAAAGTATGGAAAGTCCTCTCTGAAGCCTTATGTGCCACTAGGCATAACGAGAACTGATGATGATGATGAAACATACAAAAGCATGGATGGCAAACGCATACATTCAAATATACACATTCACCGCGTGGGCCCAGTGCCTTGCAGCGCTATAATACAGAGATGCGGCCGCATCAGGCAGGGTTGCATAAGCAGCAAAATAAAAAAAATTAAACAAGTCAGATTAAACATTTAAGGGACGGCATTTCATAGACTTTCATCATACTGAGAAAATCTACACAAAACAAAACTTTTTCATCAGTTTTCAACCGGTGAACGTGAAGAAGAAGAAAAAGAAGAAGCATACACACATTTCAGTTTGAGGTAGGTAGGTAGGTAGTTGTATCCCACCAGGACATCACACGAGCGACTAACACCCGGTGACACAAAGTGCCACCATGCGGATGAGGATCACCAGTGGAGAGGTTCATGAAACCATACAACCATGGCCCGGCTATATTCAGGGCCCCTGGCAAAAACCAGGGTGGGGCTTCAAAAAACAAAAAAATGGCATCCCACAAGGGGACGACTATAACTTCAGTTTGAGAGTGGCTGGGGAGTGCTTGTAACACAGAAAACGCCACTACGACCACAACGTTGACCTTAATTACACGACTTTAAGAGTTTATTTTCTCAGTCTTTTAGCAAATTTGCAACCAATAAACGAAACAATTATTTTCAGCATTGCTTTTCTTTCTTTCCCCAGATCTTTTGCATCTGTTGGCAGTCGATTTCTGTAACGGAGTCAAATCTCACACTCTCAGGATGGTCACTGTTGCAGCGCTCCCGGATTACCTGGTGACAACCCCTGTCTTTGAGGAAAACACAACACACGAGTACGACACTTTCGGCGTGTTCATCCACCCACATTGGTACAAGTTCCCTTTGATACCGCCGGCCTGGCATTACGCCATGGGTGTTTTCATCACTTTCGTCAGTGTGTTCGGATCCTTGGGAAACTTTCTGGTTATGTACATTTTTGGAACGTAAGTATTAACTGTCTGCTAAACCCTATTAGGACCCCACGTTGAGCGTTTAACACCCGGTGACTGTAAGGAGTAATTTTCTTATGGTTAGTTGCGTATCCTTTACAGGAGGTCGCAGAACCGACCCCAGCAGCCCCTGGCTGTTGTGTGGTTTCTCTAGGCAAATTTACGTCCAGTCGTTTGCCATTTGTCGGCTTTCTTTATACCACTGTCGAAACCAACGATAGGCGAATGGCCCGCAGCTGGGATCGAACCCGGCTGCCCGGCATTACGTAGCGTTCTCATCGACTTAGCCACAGAGCCGACAATTTTCTCAAGGCTGTTTAAAAATTAGGACATCGACCACTGTACATAAATTGTGTGCGAGAAGTCAGATGGTGGCATCGATTACGATCGCAAAGTGCAAATCTTCGAAGTTTTGATGAGAGTCCTCCAGCTATGAATTCCCAAAATCCCATTCAACAACGAGGTTATATTGAGGCCCTCGACTGAGGCCCAGACAGGGTAGGGCGTACACACAATGTAATGTTTATTATTCTTCAATTAATTGTATGTCCCATTTCAGTTTGTTACAAACAGTCGAACGCTGGTGTCAATGTAACATGTGAAAACCACAAAAATTGTCAAAGAAAAAGTTGTAACATTTTTAAAACTATGTAGAAAAGATATCCAATATGGCTGCGGTTTATCTTGGTTTCTAGAGCAACCGTCACGTGCACAATTTGACAGTATTTTTTCTATCCGCGGTGTTCGATTAAAAAAATATACCATATGAGAAGTAGAAATTAAATAGTATATAGTTTAATTTTCTGGCTCACATTGCCTCAACTAAGCGTCCCCAAAATGGGTACCAGGTAAACCTCTGGGAAGTAAAGGCGGCCGGCGTAATGCTGACCATATCATCCACCAGTGCCGAGTGGTCTATAAAATATGGGTCTAGCCCTATGTGCCCCATACCTCCGTAGGCGTGGAAACGGGTCCTTTACTTACTTATTTTAGGAGTCCAGTAAGCAGCTTTCCACCTGTCATAAGTTATCGAACTGTGAAATGACATACAACGATAGCTGACATACAGTTATCCCTAACTGTCTGGTGTCTGGTGTAATATGGCAGTATATTTGAAGCTAAACAAGGTCGCAGTTATTTTGTTTATGTTTTTGTTTTAAATCGTCATCCAAGGTGTCGACACAAAGAAAACGTATGGGGGGGGGGGGGGGTAGAGGGAAGGGTTAGGGGTCTTTCCCCTATCCCCTTTCTAAAAAAAGTTCTAGGGCGCCTAAAGGGTTTTAACTGCATATTAGTAGTAATATGGGTTGGTTCTGCAACGCCCTATAAAAGATACGCAACTAACCTAGTAGTAATAGAAGTAGTATACAATTTTTTAACTTCAACCTTTAATGTTTAGTAGTAGTAGTAGTAGTAGTAGTAGTAGTAGTAGTAGTAGTAGTAGTAGTAGTAGTAGTAGTAGTAGTAGTAGTAGTAGTAGTAGTAGTAGTAGTAGTAGTTGTTGTAGTAGTAGTAGTAGTAGTAGCAGCAGCAGTAGTAGTAGTAGTAGTAGTTGTTGTAGTTGTAGTAGTAGTAGTAGTAGTAGTAGTAGTAGTAGTAGTAGTAGCAGCAGCAGCAGTAGTAGTAGTAGTAGTAGTAGTAGTTGTTGTAGTAGTAGTAGTAGTAGTAGTAGTAGTAGTAGTAGTAGTAGTAGCAGCAGCAGCAGCAGTAGTAGTAGTAGTAATCGGCACTCAGTGGGTGATGTGGTCCGCATTATACCTGGTAAATATTTTAGGCTGGAACGAGCTGAGAGGCAAGGTCAGTTCTGCGAAAAATTATGCCACGATGCGCCCAGACAAGCGTCTAACCTAGCGTTTCATACACGTTTTTTTAGGGCGTCCGGGGGGCGGGGGGGGTGGTGGTGGGGGGGGGGGTCAGGGGTGCCGCCTCTTTTCACTTAAAAAATATCACTCAGCAACCCCCTATCCCTGGGAATTCACAAACACCATCATGCACCATGCCGATAAAGCATAGGCGTTAAAGAGATTTGCTAACGTACACAATCAGCAGTACCACGGATCAGGTCAGTGCTCTTGCCCTACCAGATGTCTGTGGCTAGCCATCAAAGTATTTGTCGCTTTTCCTTCTCCCTGTCTCTTTTTGTCGGTTGTGTCGATTGTCACCAAATTCATGTGATGTCAATGGTGGTGACGTGCATGGCTTCGTGACCCTGTTCATGGTGATGGGTCTGCAACCTGGAGCTGCCAGACATGGACATTTGTCTAAGGGCAGAAGACGTCTGATTTTATTAAGCACAGAACGGACTAGATCAATTGTCTTACTTTTATGAGGCAGACAATGGATCAGTCTGGATTGCTGTATTGTCAGTTTTGACTAATCACAATATAAAAAAGGGAAGAATATGTTGTAAATTAGACGCCTCGATTGTACTGTCCCCCCAGTGTGCCTGTCAAATATGACCCCAAACACCACAGCACATACTGCAGACCTGCCCACTCTACCTACAACTTCGAAAAGACACCAGGCCTCAAGAGCAAAGTGTGCAGAGCAAGCTATGGGGAACCATGCAGAACCTGCAGCTGACATGCGAGTTCACAGAGGCAACCCACCCGATGGTCTGTTCTGAGCATACGAAACCGAACGCAAAGAAGAAGATGAGATGCCTTGAAATTTGAAATGATACACGGCTTTTATTTTTGTGCGCTCAGCCATACCAGCATTCACATTACACACATAACATTTGTATAAAAAAAGGAAAATATTTAAGTTAAGATTTCAGTGGTCAACATTTTATGTACATCAATTCTAGCATGGGTCATAAACAAGACAGTTGGCTTGAGTTTTTCTCCGGCGTCGCATAGTTTTTCATGCAGGATCACTCTTGTAGGTCAGATTTCTCTTCTTTGACATGACGTTGTGACAGTCTTTAAGCCATGTTCTATACTTTGTGCATCAGAACTCATGCTGCAGAATCAGAGAGGCACTAACAGTGTGCCTATTACAGGGTTCCACAATTCAAACCACCGTGTTTCTGCCAAACCTTTGTATTGTACCACACTGTTATACTTTCTGTCGTGTTTCTTATCTTCTTTCCAGTTCAAATTCATAGATTGTATTAAGAACGTCTTTTTGCTCTCTAAATCTCTGAAACGAGAGGGAGTGCATGAGGGTCCACACGGGCTTCACGAGCTCCTCTAACTTTTCATGCCGACATAACAGTGGGCCGGTATCCACTGCAGGACTAGTTCTGCTCTTGTCAACATTATTTTAAGGGTTTTAATTATTTTTTAAATTTAATTTTAATTCTTTAGAAGAAAAAAAAAAACTCTTAATAATTTACAGATGTTGTTTTGTATAGAGCATAAGATTATTTGGAGGGCTAATGTCTAGTGTGAGTACAACTGTTTTGTTATTTAATTCCACTCAGCGAATAAGAGTCTGCACAACTGAAAGAAACGTTGATGCCTCTCCTCTGCTGCTTGTGAGCGTGTCTGTATTGTCACTAAGATGTGGATTCCGGCGCCTATCTTTCTGTGACTTCTTTAAAGAGACTGTCAGTGAACACAGGCGTCAAAATATGAGAGGGATACTGATACCTGAACATAAGACGTGACAAGGTTTTCTTTCAATTAAGTTCGCTCTTTTTCGAGATTATCCCAGGAACTTTCAGAACTGTACTGGACAGATTTGGAGAGCTCATCATTTGTTTTAGTTTTAGAGCTTCGCGCATAATCATATCAGTTTGTATATTTACATATTATCTCTGGGCTTCTCTTGCTAGATGGTTTGGACTTTGTCTTAATAGTCTCATTTTTCTCTCTTTAAATTTTCGGTGCAGCGGATAATTTGGAAGCCATTTGATTACTTCATGCTGTGCGTTCTACGAAGTCCAAGGGACTTGGTGTCAGCACTTTTATGATTTTATTTATCGGTATGCTTATCGTTACTCTCAATGTTATTCTCAAGCTTATATTCTGAATCATGTTTAGTTTTTACAAGATTGTTTTCGCTGCTTTAGCCCGGGAGCTTGACGCATATTCCATGAAACTGATTGTTGTAGAGTGATTTTTGTTAATGTTTTTATGGTTGTTTCCCATTACTTCCCATCCCGTCGTATTTATGAATGTCTGGTGTGGAGGATAACTCCGATAAACGTGGATGTATATGTCTAAGTATTGGTTGATTTCTTAACATTATGCATATATTTTCTTGTGTGGGAAGATAGATGGACTGTTATTGTGGGTAATGTTTGCTTTAGTGTTAAACTCTAATTCTTTGTCAAATATTTTAATTTCTGTACTCACATTTTATTAGCAAGGAAGCTTTTGAGTGCGTTTTCCATTGCAGTCCAAAGAACAAAATATACTGCTGGATACTTTTTGGTGAAAACATTTAGCAATGACAATTATTTAAATTAGGAAAAGACTTTGAGCTTTCATACTACTTTGAGGAACTACCTCCCTTAGTTTTATCTGACTGACAGGCCGTCTGTTTTAACTCTAGCAAATCTTTGGTACAGGAAGCCTCTTATCCAAGGTTACTGTTGTGAGTAACTTTTGTTTGTAGAATTTTCTGCTCAGGTTCTGTTTTCACACATTGTTAAAAGTATGGAAAGGGTAATATTTAAAAAAAAAAAAAAAGATAATAATAACAACACTAAAATTAACGAATAACCTGAATAGAATAACGTATAATTTTGTTGTCGAAATTATATTTTCTTCTTCTTTGTTTACGGTCTGTGAGCTCCGGCGGAAAGTTCTAGTTTTCGCCAATTTTGACTTTGGCTATGTGCCAGGGGCTGAGTTTTGCGTGTACAACCGTTTTACGGGCTTATATGTGTTCAGCTGGTTGCTCCTTGCCGCGCGGGCAGATGCACTCCGACTTCTAAGGAATCCCATAATTAGTCGACTCCTACGACATGCTTGTTGGGTTGTTGGTAAAAATTTATTGGTACGAATTTGCTTTTTATGATTGTTGCTTTGCGCATATAGATAAGTTTATTTGTTTGGACGCTTAAATAACGGTGCAGTTGGTATATTTATATCATACACTTACATTTTTTAAAGGGGGTGGGGGGGGGGGGGGAGGTGGGAAGGAGTTTGTCACTGACAGCCATTTGTTGGCACCAATTTGCTATTTATGATTATTTGCTTTGCGCATATAGATATGTTTAGACGTTTAAAAAACGGTGCAGTTGGTATATTTATACTATCCATTGGATTTTTTTTTATTATAGAAAGGGTGGGGGGGGGGGGCAGATGGAAAGAAGTTTGTCACTGACAGCTATTTATTGGTTCGAATTTGCTATTTGTGATTGTTTGCTTTGCCCTTATAGTCATATGTTTAGACGTTTAAATAACGGTGCACTTGCTTTTTTATATTTCCGGTCCATTCTATTATTCTCGTCACGTTTTCAGCAAGATATTAATCATGTAAGAAAACACTGCTGTGAACAAAGAGGAAAAAAAATATAAATCGAAGTTTAATTATAAAAATTATATAAAATTGTATGTCAGCTCTGATGAATTATTTAATATACACATGCTTATTTGCATTCATCAGCAAAAAGTCAAAGAGAAACAAAACACAACGCAAAATGAACCGACTCCGAAATGACTATATTATGTTTTTTTTTTTTTTAAATTGTGTGATACAAATAAAGTAAAAAAATAATAAAAGACAAAATGATATGAAGTAGGTGATACTTACTGGATAGAGTGCATAGCTTTAAATAGGCATGTGAGTTTAAATATCTAGGGGAAAAAATCGCCGAAAATGGGAAATTAGGTGAGGAAATTAACATCTGACACAGTAAAGCAAACCAAGTATTGGGTCAGCTAGCTGCCATCTTTCCAACCTAATACAATCCCAATCAAAATGACCTTGGCGGCCAGGTCGACCCAGGCTTGAGTGGGTACCGGGTGCAGACCTAGGAAGTAAATGCGGCCGGCGTGATGCTGACCACATCAGCACTCTTGTGCCGTTAGTCTATAAAATATAGGTCTAGCCCTATATACACAAACGCCTTTAAGGCGTGGAAAAGGGGCCTTTAAAAATCTTTTTCCAATCCGAATTAGAGCAAAGAAACATCTTATTCAAAGCATATTCATTCCAACACTATGCTATCAGTGCCAGACATGGTCAATCACAACAAACCAGATTATAAACTTAGTAACCACAAAAATGAGATGTCTGAGAAAGGCTGCAGGATGACCAGAAGAGATATTATCAGGAATTAGGTGATAACAGAAAAGGTTCACAAAGAACCAGTTTGAAATTACATACAAAGACAAAATTAAATGATTTTCCCACTTAAAGAGAATGATTTGTGACGCATACACCGAAATAGATAACGGACGAAGAACTCAAGGTAGACCAAAAAGAAAGAGAAAGTTAAGAAAAAGAGAAGAAGAAGAAGAAGAAGAAGAAGAAGAAGAAGAAGAAGAAGAAGAAGAAGAAGAAGAAGAAGAACAAGAACAAGAAGAAGAAAAATAAGAAGAAATTTACTTTCATAGCTTTACTGTAGTCACCTCATTTCGATACACTTAAGACTTGGAGATTAAGCAACTTTAAGAACAATTCTTAAACATTCTACATTAAGCCATATATTTACTATTTTTAACCTTTAGCACCCCACAATAAAAATTCAAATTATTTCCCTTGCCTCCCTAAAGGGCGTAAAATATATAAGTACTCAAGGAATATACCTTCTTCTTCTTCTTCTTTTGTTCGCCTGAAGTCTATATCAGCAATTTTGTCTCTTGTATAAATTTCACTGTCGTTGATAGTTCATTCAGTGGTCCATAGAGTTTACGTTACACTGTTGTTCTTTCTGGCCAATAGGTTTGCCATAATGTGTTAAATTCGGTCAAATCATGCAGCACATACTCTACTGTCTGGGGCACCTTTCCACAGGTGAACATGGCTGATACGCCTATCTTGAATTTTGTGTACATGTGGTTATGCAACTGATTGTGCCCTGTTCTGAGACGGAGGATAATGACTTGTTCTGGTCTGTCCATAACAATATAGCCGTCTTGGGCTGAGAGGTTATCAGTGCTTCCGATCAGACCGGAAATTCATGGAAAAGGGTGGAATACTGACTCTAGTCAGGAACAATAGATTGAAGTATATATGGATGGAGCAGAATATCAGATTCTGAAACTACAAACTGGAAGATACCTCAAGTGAATAATAATGCTTAGCGATTTAGACGTTAGTTTGTAGCTGGACAAAATGCTGAAAATAGAGATGACTCAAAAATTGCAGTCAGAATGACATGTGCAAATTTCATATCACTACTGTTCATTATCTGGAGGTGTTCTTGTGACAGATAGACAGGCAGACAATATTTCAGTTATAACCCAGTCATCTCCTTGTGAGATGCAATTTTTTGTTATTTGAAGCCCCACCCTGGCTCTTGCCAGGGGCCGCAGTATATCTCGACCATAAATATGGTCTAATAGCTGAACGCGGTTTCTCGGACCTCTCCACGGGTGACCTTCATCCACATGGTGGCACTTTGTGTCACCGGGTGTTTATCGCTTGTGTGTTGTCCTGGTGGGGTAAAATTTACTACTACTACAAGACAATGGAATTTTTAATCCCAATTCCCATGTGGAACTAATTTTTCGTTATTCTGAAGCTTCCCTCTGGCTGTTGCCGGGAACCTAATATAATCTAACATTTAAACGGGCGTTTCTGAGACCTCTCCACGGGTGATTCTCATCAGAATGGTTGCATTTTGTGTCATCGGGTTGTGGTCGCTCAGTGTAATGTTCTAGTGGGGAAAAATGTCAGTCAATATGATTTTTCTATTTTATAGTAAAGATGCCTAACATACTGATATTATATATTTCGTTTTGCAGAACAAAGTCTTTGCGGACGCCATCAAATATTTTCGTGCTTAACCTTAGCATGAGTGACACCATCTTCTCTGTTATCAACGGCTTTCCTTTGATGACCATTTCCTGTTTTAGCAGACGATGGATTTTCGGCAAAGTAGGTCAGTATGTAATTACAAATAAATAGACAGCTATCTTTTCCCCCTTTTATGGGTACACAGAAATGGTCGCTTATCAGGATGGCTAGCATACTGTCTGCTGACATCTTGCTGAATTGCTAGAATTTCCAAGGAAGGGGAAAAAGGGGTGGCGGGGTATGGAATCGTAGACTTTCATAAAGCCAAGCATTAGGTAGGTGCGAGGAAATTATCTGGGAAGTAATGCTGCCTGCGCCTTTCGTTGGCACTACACTTCTGAAAAATTGTGTCAAAACTGCCAAACTGCCAATTATTATACCATTTTTGCGGTGTAGGCAGGGTAGTCTTTGAGCCTGAGGATTTACGGCCGCGTGGCTAGTGCTGTCGCCACGAATATGCAGGTAAGGATTTTATTTTGCCTTGTCAGAAAAAAATCCTCAGCCCTACCGCTTGAGAGCTAGGCACTCTAACCGTTCGGCCAGCCGTTCCTCGAACAATTGTGTAGTTGAGTAGTAGTACATTTACCCCACTAGGACATCACACAAGCGATAAACACCCAATGGCACAAAGTGCCAACATGTGGATGAGGATCACCCGTGGAGAGGTCCCGTAAACCGCGTTCAGCCATTAGACCATATTTATGGCTCAGCTATATTGCGGCCCCTGGCAAGAACGAGAGTCGGGCTTCAAAATACGAAAAATTGCATCCCATAGAGAGATGACTAATGTCGTATAGTGTAGTTCAGTTAAAAGAAATACTTTATATTGACCTACTTGGGATAGGAATTGACATACTGGCCCTTTGGCATCTGGTAAAATGTCAAATACCAACCATGAAAATGAAGAGGTGAAAATCTCGAAATCTGCACCTAAATGATTTTAGCGTCCTGCCAATGAATCATGCGACATTGGTGGCCACATTAGTTTCGGACTGATCTATTAACACAAGATTGTTGGTGGAGGAGGTGTGGTAAGTATGGGGAGGTAGCACTATCTACCAAATAACTCTTAAGGCAGGAGAACAGATATTTTGTTTACTTTCTTTTCACTTTGAAGACAGCCTTTTCGGAGTTTCAGTGCCAAAAAGACGGAACCTTCAAGAGGGAATTCTCTTAGTTTTCGCACACAAAAATTATTTAAAAAAAAGCGTTTAATCATCATATACAAAACTATATATATATATAATAGTGTAGAACAGTGTTTCCCAAACGTTTTTTGGCCGCAGCGCCGTTTTTCAATAAACATGACTATTCGTATGTAAGAGATTGAAAAAAAAATAAAAAAACTCGTCTATCTTCGAATATTTCGCGGGGCTCCTCTGAAGAGGTCGCAGCTCCCCGGGGCGCTGAGGCGCACAGTTTCGGAATCACTGGTGTAGGAAATTGAATGAGCTAACACAAAATTTATGAATTAACTGAAATCTCCAAATGTTTTTAAATTTACTATTCTCGTTTGCATAATTTATGCAAGCATTTTGGTTCTCACTTGGGAACAAACATGGCTAACCTAAAGAAAAAAAAAAAAAAAATTAGGTGACCCTTCTGACACATGATTCTACTCCTTTTCCCGCCTCATGCTATGTTTTTGTTGCTATAACGCAACAGTCCTTTCCGCCATTGTTGTCTGAATATGAGAAGCAGACTAAATCCAGTTGATGGCAAAAACGTGAATTTTTATGCTCTCAGTGTGGAAGGCTTTTCTCAACTCAGGAGGATCTTCTTAGTCACACTCGCCATCGCCATGGGCTGTGGCACCCAAGCCGCCCCATAGCACAATATAATACTATCATCTGGAAATACGGAGAGGTGCCAACAAATAAATTAACTGCCTTCGATTGTTGTCCTACAATGTGAGTGTTGATACATAGTTTTAGGATGCTCGCCGGTGCTACAAAGGACGTGTATCATGTTGGTATTTTGCCTAGGACGTGTGTCATGTTGGTATTGTACCTATGCAGTCTATGTGAGGAGGCTAGAGAACTTTGGGATATATTCATATGATATGAATATTTAAAAAAAAAAAAAAAAAAAAAAAAAAAAAAAACCTGTTCTTTTGTATGACAGCAAATCTTGGAATGTCAGTGAACAAATTAAGAAGAATGTGGAAGCAACAGAGATGTGGTTTCTGAGACGAATGTTATGAATACTTTGGACCGCCAGAGTAACTAACAACGACTGTTTGAAAGAAGCTTATGAAAATAGATATCTGTATACAACAATAAGAAGGAAGCAAACACTGTTCTTTGGCCACATAATCAGAAGAGAAGCACATGAAAACATCGTGACAACTGGAAAGATCAGTGGAAAGAGGGGTAGAGGGAAACCAAAAGAGACGATGCTGGATGGGCTGAAACGATGGAATGGAGGGATATCATCAAGAGAGCTGTTCCAGGCAACCAGAGATCGTGATCTGTGGAGATGCATGAGCGCCTACGCCAGTTGGCAGGACATATGATGATGATGATGATGATAATGAATAAATAGACGGGGAAAAAACGTCGGCATCCTGCATGACCCGGACATTAAGGAGAACTGGCTCATAAACAGCATCCTGCTGGAGAATTTTGGCCATGTCAATCGCCATGGTGGTCTATAAAGAACGGTGATGGAGGGTATATTTTCAGGAAAACAGAACAGCGGCTGACCTCCGTGAAGATGGACACAGGACACTGAAGATGCATCGGCTATGAAAGCACACGGGGCTGCAGATTTGGCTAGACAAACAAAACAAAAAGCACTTTCCGGGGTGCCGGAAGAGAGCGACGTTCTGTAAAGGACCTGTTGATTGATTGACTGATGATAACAACTGCTTGACTCCGCGGCCAAATGGTGTAGTTGCTCTGAAGGTCGTAGGTTTGTTTCATGAGTGCAGTTGTCCAAAATTGCCATGGGGATCGTCGCTAAAGCTATGGAGTCTGTGTTTTGGGCGACACTTTGTGAAGAGAGACGGATCTATATTATTGGGGATAACTTGGTACAATGATGTCAGTCATCTCTATTTTAAAGATCCTTTACACACTGGCATATGTTGCCTCAATGAAAAAGAACCAAAAAAAAAAAAAAAAAAAAAAATAACAACAAAGACAACATGTACAGGCTCAAGACAAGATATATTTCAGCTCCCTATGTCCTCGTGTGGTTTTCTGGGCCCCTTTTTGTGGGATAAAAGACCCAATGACCCATAACAAGCATGTTGTAAAAGTCGACTAATTAGGAGTATTACCTTTCAAGTCGTAGAGCATCTGCCTGAGAGACGAGGAACCAATAGTCTGCAAACAAATAGGCAAAATTTGTGAAACATATGTGCACGCAAAAATCAAGTTCTGGAATAGAACCAAAGTCCAGAAATGAACAAACCACCAGAGCTTTCCTCTGGAGTTTAGAGCAGGTGGACTCCAGTGAGGAGAAGAAGAAGAAGAAGAAGAAGAAGCTCACAAAGGAGCATAGAATGCCAGCCAACAAATAAAGCCTCTACAGATTTGTTCATAATTGGTTTTAGATTTTCATAATATTTTCCCTTTTGATAGGGTAGCCAGTGTTGATGCAACCTCTCTTAGTCGCCTTTTAAGACATGCAGGTGGGCTGCAGTGTTGCTGTTTTCTGCCTTAAAAATGGCTTAAGCATTATACGAGAAAAGGCTACTTTGTTTCTCCCATAGGAACACACAAACACACACACATACACACACACATGCGCGCGCGCGCACAAACAACAACAACACTGAGTGTCAAAATAATTATGGCCCAAAGACGTCCTATGGCTATTTTCAGCAGATACTTTATTGTTCAAGTACAAAAATGTACATTAATATTATCTTTTTTTTTTACGCCTGTAGGCGTATCGGGCACATGGGAAGAGCACCTCCTTATTTTTACAGACTATCGGCACTAGGTGGGTAACGCGGTCAGTATTACACCGGCCGTCTTTACTTCCTCAGGACATTCATCCTAGTACCCATTTTAGGCTGGGTCGACCTGCGACCTCCCAAACCATATTAAAAATCCACGCAGCTAGCAGTGGGTTTTGATCGCGGTACGTTGGAATTCTTCTTCTTCTTTGCGTTCACCAGCTGTACACTCTGGCGGAAAGTTCTGGTTGCTCGTCCATTACTGAACTGCAGTTGTGCTCCAGAACCTGAGTGTTGCGTGTGCATCAGTTTTACAGATCTCATTCTCTTGAATAAAGACTGTTGGTTCCTTGCCTCTCCGGCAGACGCACTCCGACTTCAAAGGAAGCTCCCCAATTAGTCGACTCTTACGACATGCTTTTGGGGAGGCAGTGGGTCTATTCTTGTTTTCCCCACAATAGGGCCCTGGAACCCACACAGGGGAGTCACGTTGGAATTAAGAGTTAGCCTTGAAACACCCAAGCTACGGACGCCACTTTTACGGCATTAAACCAGTAATATCGTTTGCTTATATTTATTTAATTCATCACTTTGTAATTCAGCTTGCCCGCAACAATTAGGGGAGGGGGAGGGGATGGCTACTGGTGTGATATTGATCATAAAGATAAGTGAGGACTATCCTCACAGCGCTTTGGGCATATCCATAGGTGCTCTGATCTTTTCTACCATCTCTGATCTTTTCTGTCATACTGTCAGATTATCTGCACCCTTGTTGCCTCGAATACCTACATTGTTCAGCACACAGATAAAGGTTAGGCGAGTTATTTGACAGAATCCATTCCTGTCGGATCAGTCCTGTCTAGATTTTCTGGAATATGTTCATTGAGTCACTAAGAATTAGGGCTGTACCGAATAGTGATTTTCACTATTCGGCCGAATACGAATAGCTGGACCATCTATTAGGCCGAATACGAATAGTGAATCATCATCACCAGGTGCTTTACCGACTAGCATGGGTGATTATGCCTATTTACAATCTGCAATCTCCTGCAGCTTGTATTAGTTCGTGTGCTGACACACCTCAATGCCATGCAACAAGACTGTCAAGAATCTTCTCTCGTTGTCTTCCTCTATCCCTCCTTTCACAGATCTTTCCAGTGGTCACCACATGTTCAATTTTCTTTCGGTTTATAACATGGCCGAAAAATGATGACTGTCTGCTTTTGATGTCTGTGAGTAGTTGTCGCATCTATCAAAACCTCTTGGTTGCTTTTTTTTCGCTGTCCAAGGTATTTTAAGCATTGTTCTGTAAAACCACATCTCTGTGGTTTCAAGAAATTGTTTGGCCTGCCTACCGATTGTCCAGGACTTACAGCCATATGTTATAGCTGGATGTATGTAGCAAGCAAGAATTCTTTTTGTAACCTTCAATGACAAAGATGTATCGCATAAGTTTTTCTTCATTTTATAAAATGCAGTTTTTGCCTGTCCTATTCTGTTTCTTATTTTAGTAATGCATCTTCCATCTGATGTTATCCATGTGCCCAGATACTTAAATTTTTGTACTTGTCCCAAAATAAAACCATTGACTTTTATTACACAATTAGGAATAATTTTTTTCTTTGCTACCACCATTACTTTTGTCATCCCACTATTCAAACTGAGGCCCATTCTTCCACTTTCGTGTATAAAATAGATCTAAAAAGAAAACATCCATAATGTTAAATGTACGCTGAAATGTTACTTCACAGAATGTAGTACAGAATAGTAAACACTCAAAAACATTTCATGTTGTGCATCCTTCAGTCAGTCAGTCTGTGGTAACTAATACAAAGGAATTAAAGTATTCTTAGTTTTATAACAAGTTTTATAACAAGTTTTATAACAAGTAACTAAACTTATAAATTGTCACTGACAGCTTAGTTAATCCATGGAAGCGGCGTTAGCTTTCAGAAAAAAAAAAAAAAAAACATCGTTCCAGGTTGTCAGCATAAAGGCATTGAAGGTATTTCCAGCTGTACTAAACAGACGTTCACTTGGTACGCTCGTAGGTGGTGCACAAAGATAACGCTTGACAGTATGAACCAGGGTGGGAAATCTTGATATGTTTATTTTCCACCAGTCCAGAAAAGGGTGTAAGATAACCACTATTAATATTCGACCCGACCGCAACTATTCGGCCGAATACCGAATGGTTATTAGGTTCACTTTTCGGCCCCGAAGCGAATGCGAAGCGAATATTCGGTACAGCCCTACTAAGAATACATGCGTGTGTGAATCATTGAGCCTGTCACCAATCGAGTGCTGGTTAGTATAAAAATATGCAGCCAGCACCATAAAACGAATACACCCATAGGTGTGAAAAGTGGTTATACTTCAGCGTAAGAGACATAAGAAAAACTCCACGAGGAAGCATGCACAGCATGGGTCAACCGATTATCAATAGAAAGATGCCTCGTCGATGATTGTTTTGGCTCATAACTTCCTAGACAATTTCAGAAGGTGGGCCGACCTGGTTCATGACTCCAGGAACCGATCTTCCCCTGCTGAATTTTATCGGACTCTCGGACAGGGACGAGACAAGAGAGTAAAACTAAAGATCATCTGAACCCTACAGCGTACTGCCTATATTTTGAAATGCCATATCAAGATTACAACATCTCAGTTTAGAAGGCAGACTAACGGGGCAGATTTTAGCTACTCCTTTTAGCCTCCAGAGACATTACCAGTATAATTAGGGACATTACCAGTATAATTAGGGACATTACCAGTATAATTAGGGACATTACCAGACCAGTATAATTAGGGACATTACCAGTATAATTAGGGACATTACCAGACCAGTATAATTAGGGACATTACCAGTATAATTAGGGACATTACCAGTATAATTAGGGACATTACCAGTATAATTAGGGACATTACCAGTATAATTAGGGACATTACCAGTATAATTAGGGACATTACCAGTATAATTAGGGACATTACCAGTATAATTAGGGACATTACCAGTATAATTAGGGACATTACCAGTATAATTAGGGACATTACCAGTATAATTAGGGACATTACCAGTATAATTAGGGACATTACCAGTATAATTAGGGACATTACCAGTATAATTAGGGACTTACCAGTATAATTAGGATACCCGTAACAGCTATACCAACCTAGTTTAACACGCGGTTGTATGTGGCCAAGGATGTGTTTCATCCAGGTCTACTAAAACAGGGTCCCCCTCCCCCACGGGTCAAAAAATTTTTTTGACGCCTTGGGTTCAGATTTTAGAAAAAAAAAAATTCTAATATATTCTTATAAAAAAAGAAGGTAAATGTTTCGTTTGTAACTATACAATTTGTACTTTTTATCATTTTTTTTAATTGGGGGGGGGGGGAAAGGGGGGGGGGGAGCTAATTGATAAAAATACCATTGGCAGCCCTGGTTTCATCCACTAAGCAAATGGCATCCCACGTCTTTTAGGCGTATGAGGCATATAGGATTAGACCTATTTTTAATTGACCAGTCGGCACTGGAAAAGCGATATGGTCAACATCACGTCACCGCCTTTCCTTCCAAGGACTTTAGGTATTATCCATTTAAAGCTGGGTCGAGTGGGAGAACAAAAGTTCTGCTCCTTTCGAAATCAAACACACGACCTTGATATCGCCAGGCGAGCGCCTAGCCGCTACACCAGGGCGGCTCCCATCAGCCCGAATATATCACATGATCTTATCTTCCAGCCTGTGAACTCTACGGTCTGGTCAGCGGTATGTTCGGCCTCATGTCCATCAACACGCTGGCCGCTATAGCTCTTGACCGTTACAATGTCATCGCCCGTCCCATTAAAGCATCCAGGGGCATGAGTTATCGCAGAGCTTTCACGATGTTGATGTTCGTCTGGTGCTGGTCAGCAACCTGGACCATCCCGCCACTCTTCGGTTGGGGAGCCTACATTCCAGAGGTAAGTTGGATATGTTCCAGGGTGTTTGTAAAGTCTCACTACACTTTGTATGGCAAATTTTTTTTTTGAAAAACGAAGTACACGGCGTCATTAAAAATGCATACAATTTATTTAAATTAGTAAGAACAGTCACTGCTACAGTCTGACGCTGTTCTGGGGAAGCTGGAAAGTACCAAAAAAAAAAAAAAAAAAATATCTATTATAACAGGTGTTGAAAATGCCAGACACTGGCTTCAAGACAACTGGACACGTCTCTTCATATTGTCATATACTGGTTGTATCAACAGCCATTTCGAAACACCCACCTCCGCAAAAAAAAAAAAAAAAAATTATATTGAAAACACCATTCTGTTTTGAGTGTAAACAATTACTCCAGCAAACGACATCTATTCACTGCATATTTTTTTTACGACTGACTATAAGACACCATTTTTTATGACGTCATGTCCTTTTTTCATGTTTCTTGTACATACAGATTGTAGTAAGACTTTACAAGCACCCTGTATATTAGAACTAGGTAATTCGTTTGTCTTGTGCTGTCTTTAATGTCTTCATTATTTGTGTCTTTTTTTTACAGCTGATTTCTAATCCGACCCTTCGTGTTATGTTTGATAAATCATGTCATTATGTGTTTTTCTTTGCATGACAACGCGGTCCTCACTTAGCAGAACAAAATCATCGGGAAAATCCTAATCTTGCAGGTTTTTTCCCTCCTAGTCGATGTCGTTATTTTTAGCACAAGAATGTTTTCAGCCTAATTTAATAGTTTTACAAAATAAACGGAGAGTTAAAGTGTCTCCCAGTTGTAGTATTGTCATCACGCCAGTCACTCCGCCAAACACCTAGCTGCCTGCCGAGTGCGTCGCACAGAACACGAGATCCTTAGCTCCAGCGACGATCCCCATGGATCTCCTTAAAAACTGCACAAGTGAACTGAACCGCTCCACCGTGAAACGAACCGACAACCTTCAGAGCTCGAGGCAAATGGCTTGCCCACTTCGCCACCCCTTCTTTTTTCATAGATCTCTTGGCCCCATCATATTTTATGTCTGTATCAGAATGGGGTACTCTTACACCTTCCTTAATACGGGCTAACATTAAAGGCGCGGGTTAGTTCCACGTTAGTCTCCCTAAATAGAGTAGGTCACTTTTCATTTGAAAGTTGGTTGGGCTGGTTGACTTTCATGAAGGTTACAGGTGTGTCCCGCTCTGTTGTTTGGTTTCTGCGATATCTTGCATTTACGTTTTTATTCCGAGAAACAGAATGCCTGCCACATAGGTTGCAGCACTCTCTAGAGGGGCTGTGTTAGACCCAGTTTCTCTATGTTTTTGGAGTGTTAAAATCCCTGGTGTGCTGAAATATACAACATGCGATATCAACGGCATTGCGGAACATCCCCGTAACCGTGTGCAAAGGCCACGGGGTTCAGGAACAACTAATCAGAAGTGAGCTAGTGTATACATGGGCGGGGTTTAGGGAGACTAACGTCGAACTAACCAATGCCCAATAAGCTCCAAGGTTTGAAAATTAGATCACAACATTTGCTTATTTACATCTGCAGGGATTCCAAACATCTTGTACGTTCGACTACTTGACACGCACCGACCACTTCCGGTCTTACATTCTGTGTATGTACATCTTTGGATTCGCTTTGCCGCTGATGGTGATACTGTTCTGTTACGTTCAGATCTACAGCGCCGTAGCTAAACACGAGAAGGTAACAGTTTGTTTGTCCGTGTTCTATTTTGCTCGTTCTGTTCACTTTATTTCTTTACGTTTACTATGGCTCCCCCCCCCCCCCCCCGATTACTATGTTTCTCACCTTGCTTCTATTCTGCATGTTTATTTCTCTCTATGTTTACTCTATCTCTCTCTCTCTCTCTCTCTCTCTCTCTCTCTCTCTCTCTCTTTTGGGGTGGGGGGGGGGGGGGGGGTAATTTTGCTTATTTCATTGTTCTTTCTGGTAAATCAAATCCTTTTTGTCTTTTTACCTAATTGTTGCCATTTACTTAGATCTTTCTCTTTACATTGAAAACAATCTGTGAACCCCCTTTCTCATGAAACGAAAATTAACTACACGGGTTGAGTTATAAGTTATGAGTTGGATTATCTTCACAACGCTCCGGACACATCCAAAGGCGCTCAGATTCCCCTCTCAACATATTCTCGTATTGGGAGTGGTGTGGACACGTTGCTTCCAAAATCTTCAGATCGTCCTAACTCTCTAAGGGCATTGACGATGTCTGCGTGTTCCATGGGCCGGCCATCTTTAATTATTGCAGCACCTGCCAGTCTATCAACGCTTTCATTACCAACAACGCCTGCATCCTATAAGACTAATATAAAGGTAACTGCACACACAGGAGAGTTTTGCAATGAATCAAATCACTGTCTGCGTAACCAGCCTGCCTTGACCCGACGGATCATGCTCAAAGAATAACCCATCACACACACGGGGGAATAGTCCTGTGATTCTAGCCACATGAAAGCCTGTGTCACCGCCATCACCCCCATCGTCATGCTGCTGGTAGTCACGGAGAAGGCACCGCTGGCTTCTTGAACTGTTCTGCCTGAAGAGCGAGCTGTAAATGCCCATGCACTCTTATGTCCTCTTATAACGGACCCGTCTGTGAAGATCACCACATCTGTCTCATCTGACTTGTCACTGATAAGCGCGCATACCTCGACATTCACAGCAGCTGGATTCTGCTCCCGACAATTCCTATGGAGCGTCACGATACAGGAGAATGTGAGATTGGGCGCTTTAGACGCTGGTATCCATTCCTCATCTGTAAGGCTGCAGACCTGCATGATGTCATCCTCTGCCCTACCCAGCCATGATTTGCCCCTTCTAAGCCTATTGCCTTTTTTCTTGAAGTCATGTGGTGCAAAGGGTGCTTCAGATTTGAGCTTATCTTGAGGTGTGCACGAGCCCTACATATCTTGATCCTGTAGTTTATGGTAGGGAAGTCAGGAAGGTACCTCATTGCTACACAAAAGGTCTCTCTAGTGCACCCCAGAATAATGCGCATTGCTTTGTTTTGCACCTTCTCAAGTCTTTCAATCTGAGTATGGCTAACAGTGAGGATGGCTAGAGCATATTCGATGGGAGAAAGTACAAGTGCCTGGAACAGAAGCAGAAGCAGTCTCTGCTCAGTGTTAGCGGCGGCCAGGACCCTCATTGAACACGGGTTACAGAGTGGAGGAAGTCGTTAATTATCTCCCCCTCCCCCCTTTTCCCCACCCACAGTATAACAGAAAAAGAATAAAGCAAACAATCTCAGCATAGACAAATCACAAGAATGTTGATCATATTGGCAACTGAAAACTTCCCTGATGGTCATTGTTCCCCACCAGCGCTGCTGTCCAAAGGATTAACAACCCAAGGATGAGAATAAAACAGGAAAACATTCCGGAAACGCCGTTAAATTCTATAACACAGGTAAATTAGGGCACCACCACGGTTACAAAGTAATCTGCAGTCTAGATTGAAAGTTGAATGTTGAATTGAGAATCGAAGTCATAGCACTCGGGACACCCCCATAAGCGCTCCGTCCTATTCCGATGGTACCAGTAACTGTCTGATTGTACACCCCATCTCACTTTTCTCTTGAGTGCTGAGCTTCGACCAGGTCGCCAGCTAACTCCTGGCAGAGCCATTTCTCCTCAGACTGTTATATAATCAGTTTACGCCTCCGCACTGTTCACTCGCTTTCAAAGAGACCTCACAACATCTAGCTTATCAAATATCAGTTCACCACCAAGGGTGCCAATATCCAAACACCCCGACACGATCTGGAGAAAATATCCTAGTGATGCTAACTGTTCGAGACCTCTAAAACGATGCTTGCCAATCTGGGACCTCTGAAGCGGTGCTTGCCACTCTGCACGGATCATGCCTGTTTCTGTTTTGTCAACAGGATGTGTGAGTCAGTTACAATCACGGCATGTGTGTACAGCTGATTCTCAAGCAAGCAAAAGGCAGCAGGGGCTGCCTCCACCTCCATTCTCAAAATAGACGCTGTGACATCAAATTTCAGTGTTTTTTGCACTAAGTGACGTCTTTTCGCAGTTTCTAAAAAGTTCCCTTTTACAGTTAGATATGAAAGTATTGCAATAAAAGGTAATCAGAAAAGTGATACGTTCCTTGATCTTTTATGTTCACTTTACAAGGGCAAATTTCTTTTTTTTTTTTTTTTTTTTTTTTTTTTTTTTTTGGTTTAGTATTTTCCCTTCAGGATTGCAGTCTGTAGAGTTAACAGCCTAAGGAAGGTAATCAAACAAGTACAAATGTCGGAAATCTTATTTAACCGTATAGCCGTATAGCAGGTATACGTGGGCACCATAAAACGGTTGCAAAGTCACTTACTTCTAGTCCAGTGTGGGTGTGTCTGGATGTCAGCGGCTAGAACAGAGGTTCTCAACCTTACTTATGCCGCGACCCTTTAACATATTTCTTTATGTTTTGCTGACCCCCAACCATAAAACTACTTTCGTTGTTACTTCACAACTTTAGTGAATTTATGTTTTCCGTTGGTATTAGGCGATCCCTGTGAAAGGCCTGTTAGACCCACAACAGGGTCACGACCCATAGGTTGAGAACCGCTGGGCTTGAGACAGTGCGGATTTCATTTGGAATGTTTTTCGACTGTGACCAACGTGGTGTTGTCTTGTGAATTGTAGATTCAGAAAATGGCGCACGGCCTGTCGTCACAATATTGGCGGTGCCCTTATGTGATTAAAATTGATCGAGTGTGCAACTGCTGATCTGTTGGTTACCTAAATGATGATCTGCATTTCTAATGTCGGATTGTTTGTGTTGGCGCTTCTGATGGCTAACGTATGCTTTTAATGCGTGTGTATGGTAGTGCATATGCTGAGACAGCAGTCTGTCAATCTCTACACAAGGAACTGTGATAAACATTCTGTGTGTTTTTCGTTGGCACAAGAGCGGAGCAACTATGGGGTGACCCGTTTGCTATGAAGCTGAAACTAACATTACATTACATTACATTACATTAGAGACTCAGTACGCAGTGAACTGAGTATCTGCGAAATGTCCCTGTGTGTGGAGCTACCTTTATCTTTGTTCCAGGTTATGAAGGAAGTTCAACCTCACCAGGATCGCAAAACGAGTGATAAACACCCGGTGATACAAAGTGCCACCATTCGGATGAGAATCACCCGAAAATCAAAACTTGAAACTCTTAAACCTAATTCGAGGAGATGTTGTCGATAAAATATACATTATGTGTTTTATCTTAATGGATCGTCACTAGAGCTGCAGTGCTTTGTGGGACCGAACCTTATTGATAAAAACCGGTGCTGTCAATTTGATTATCTCACTTTATCTCTTTCGGTATAAGGCAACTCATCATAAAGTTATTAATTACTTTATTTTTTATACATATTCTATGGGGTAGGAATGTCAGATAACGCTCATGTCGCGTGCCTGCTTTAACAATTTCTCCTTAAGAACCAACAGCACTCTGAAATAATAATGTTGAGGCGTTGGTTCGTATTGGTCTAAAGGAGATCCCGTGGCCAATATACGCCCAAATTATTTCAGAAGTAGGGCAACTCAAGCTCTAGCACTACAGAATATCTAATATTCCTTGACACACTTGGCTGGACACCCCCACTACTATAAAAAGCTAGCCCCCAGGTTATGATAGTATACTATCATAGCCATGTTAACACAGATTACACTGATTAATGACACAAACAAAAAACTAGACAGTTAGAATGGTGAAACAGGGACACCCAAGTCAGCCATTAAAATTTCTGAGAATGCATGTAATATTTTCAATATATATATATATATATATATATATATATATATATATATATATATATATATATATATATATATATATATATCAAGACAATCAAGATGGTTTCCAGTGAAAGGAATTCATGACTTAATGTCACAGCAATGATGTTGAAACAGCCAAAGTCAGTTCTTAAAAAAGTACATATTTCATCACGGTGAACTAAAGGTGAGCATGGATAGAGAGCATGTAGGGCATCCTATATGTACTTAACCAAACTGGTAGGTCTCTGTTCCCCTCAGTCCATGGTGACTTAAACCGGCTGACTCAATAGATTGCTTTTCTCTCTGGTGGATCTGGCACCCACTGATCGTCTCTTATATGAGGACAAAGGAACCACACTGGAGCCCAACAAAGCTCCTGAAGAAGACTTCCTTGGATTGATGACACAGGTGGCCTGCAAGACTGTCACTCAGCCACTGGAACTCACACACCATCTCCTGCCATGTTGAAGGTATGCCAACAATAGGTAGGGTTTTGGGTAGGATTGGTGATAGGAATGGTATGGGATAGTAATTGCTGGTTATGGGTTGGTGATTGCTGGTTGGACTGTGATTCGTCTGCCTGACTTCTAAGGAGATTTCATCCCAAGATTAGGAATCCTTCAAGGATTAACTGGTACTTTTAAAGCGTCAAAGTTGAAGAGCGAATTACAAAGTCTTCCGACACCTCATAAGTTTGGCAAAAGAATGCCGGCTCAGACTAAACTTGGCGTCTCTAGGAAAGAAGTCCTTGTGTTCGTAGCCAAGGAGTGAAAAGGCTTACAGGAATTTCTGAATTATACTCAAGAAATATTCATCCCACAGTTGCAAGTTTGAACATGTAGACTTCTCAAAACAACTAGAGGGTCTAGAAATGATTATTTCACAAGATAGAGGTATATATCAATATAAGGGATTATATACCCCTCCGGAGGGGTTTGAATTTGAAATGTGACGTGCCCGCTTAGGGAAGTCAGCGTCACGAACAGTCCACTGTATAGGGTTGGCTGTTCACTCCACAACAAGGAAATGGAGAAGAAAAGGTAGGAAAAAAAGGGGGGGGGGGGGCTGTTCGGGCCGCTCCAAGTGTCATCACTGAGAGGGGTTACAAAATGGCAAAAATGTGTTTATATATATATATATATATATATATATATATATATATATATATATATATATATATATATATATATATATATATATATATATTCCGCACCGGTTACTACCGGGCCTTGCTACATCACTATTTGTGCTAGCAAATTTCTTCTCTCCTGTGCTGCGGTATCATTCATTCTTAGACTGCAGTGGATAATTAAGATTATTCTGCTCCATATTTCTACATTTTTAGTTCACTATAACTCAAAGACTAATGCTGTAAAGGGAAAATGAAAAACTACAGATTAAGACAGTATTGAAATAACTACTGCATGGTACCTCTTTGTTAAACAAGATTCTTGGCTTAGAAACTGGGTGACAAACTTTTTAAAACTGTTCCATGACGTTTCAGGAAATGGGTAAAATGGCCAAGAAGCTCAATGCAGAGATCCGCCAGGGTCAGAACGCCAAACGGGCGGAGATCAAGACTGCCAAAGTATCACTGACCATTGTTTTAGGTTTCCTGTTGTCATGGACGCCGTACGCAACAGTTGCCCTCATTGCACAGTTCGGACCTGCGGAGCTGGTGACCCCATATGTTTCTGAGATCCCTGTGATGTTTGCCAAGGCATCGGCCATGCATAACCCTGTGATCTACGCACTTTCTCATCCAAGATTCAGAGACGTAAGCTTGCAGTTTGATGTGCACGTTTTCTTTCAGTCGTGAAATTGAACATGTTTTTATGCAGTCAGTTTTCTTTTCTTCTTATAACTTTTTAGGCTGGAGACAAAAACTTCTTGTAGTCAACGACGTGTAGCGTTGGTAGTCATTATCCACACATTTATGTCTCGTTAACTTTTAGTGAGTTCGGACACAAACGATCTTCAATGCCGTGATGTCACATTGTTCATCATCTTCTTTTCGGCCTCCCTCTGCCTCGATTCATCTCCATATTCCCAACCCTCTTGACGTACACTGGTGTTCTACTTCTCCTGATATGACCAACGAATATAGATTGTCTCCTTCGGCTGTTGGCAGTCAGTTCAAAGATAAGATCTGTCGACAAAAATGCACAGTGAACACACACATACACACACACATCTGTTATAAATAATTCAATGATACGGACATTAAATGAGATCTACCATCTCTATTTAAGAATGTTGCAGGGTTTAGTAGATAGAAATAAGATAAGAGACAGATGCTTTACCAGCGGCGTAGGCGCTCAAGATTATGTACATATGTAATCCGTTGTATTTTGACTCACTTCTACAGAAGAAATTCCACAACTGCCTGGCTAAATGTGTTCGCCATTTCCATGCAGTCGTAGTTAGTCTCTCAGAAGCCGCATTTCCACGTCCTTCAAGTTATTTTAATGTGTCCATTCAGACTGCACGATCCACAGCCATACAGCAGGACTGGTTCAATTTATAATTTCAGCACGTCCGGCTGTATGTTGGTCCTGACAACTGAATCACGGTACATTTTGGAGGAGTCCCCTCGAAAATAGGTTACTGGAAGCTTTTCCATGTTGCATCGTGTGACATTTTTACGTGCTTACAAAATCCTGTGTTCTAAACGTATTCGTATTACAAATCTACAAGCGGATATTGTGAAGTGGATATACAGCAATTTTAATTTCAATTTTATTTCACGGAAGACAATCGTGTTGTGATGTGTGTGTCACTTTTTATATTCTATAAATTGAGAAGACCGTGCATTTCAGTACTATCCCCCGTGTCGGTTCTTGGGGCCCCTTTGTGTGGGGGAAAACACTGCCTCCCCAGCAAGCATGCCGTAAAAGTCGACTAATTTTTTTCTTGAAGATTGTTTCAGTCTTCTTGATTTTTAAGGGAAACATATTTTCTTAGACTCTATTTTTACGAAGTCCAAAAGTTGCTGTAAATGTTCTGTGTTTTCAACTATGATTAATGTATCATTCTCATAACCACCGCCTTCCCCAGATAGAATCGGTCGTGCTCATAACGTAGGAATTTTATTATGTATCCATCAGTTCGTATACTTAGTCTAGCTGTC